TTTTGGGGCCGAGGTTTAACCTCGAGAGTCGACGAGACTCGAGTGGTAGAGTAACATCTGATTTTTACCGAGAAGCTATCTCACTCGAGGAAGCTGGATCTTAGTCGGAAAAAAGAAAAAAAGAAAAAAAAAAGAGGAAGCTGGATCTTGTTGGCATGCCATCCAAACTACATTCAAGGAAGAGCCTGGATTGGTTTCCATCAAAGTCAAGCCGAAGATAAGAGATCCTCTTACTCAGTGGCGAGAGAATTTTATGTTATGATCAGCTCTTTCTTTGTCAGCAAAAGCAGGAAAAAAACTGGGTGGATATAGTATCCACCGAGACTCCGTGCATACTGCCGCTCAACAGGTGACACATGTGCGTGCGTTTCAAAGACTCCTCCGCTCGGCTTGAGTCATGATGCCGGCGCTCGGCTCGTGGTCCATCGGCTCAGGAGTCCCTCGGCTTGATCCCACAGCACAGCAATGATCATTGTCCTTGTAGGTTGGAGAAGCGCCGCAATTACAGGAGTCTTGTAACACCCCAGGGTGCTACTAAACAACACAAACACTAGCTGGACATACTAAATAAAAAAAAACGGCAGCACCTCCTTTGTAAATATAAGCAACACGGAGGTGAGAACAAAGATAAGACACATATAGACCACACTAGCATAAAATAAACATCCACAAAAAGTAATTATCACAACTACGTTATTAAGTTTATGGAATAGTCTCTAAATGAAGGTGTGTGAAACGTGCAGCTAGCTCCCTTACCATCCGAGCAACTATCAAGTACCTGGGAAGAATAATGCAAGGGTGAGATGAAAACATCTCAGCAAGTAAATATTTTTTTAGCTATTTAAATCACAAGTTGTGTTAAGCAGCGATTTAGTAAAGGATTCCATCTCTGAATAAGCAACATATAAAACCAATGTAAAGAACACCTCCAAATAAAACCACAGAGAGGTGATACACCTTCAATATTATATTAGCAAGGTCATGTCACTTCAAATATGTTTCATAAATACATGAGTGCAATGCAAATGACTCCTGCCTGCATACCCAACAAGGTATGGAGCTGCATCCCAAGATGCTATACCGGTACGGTCGTGACCATAGGTCAACGATATAACTTCCAATGCATTCGAATGATGCAATGCATATGACATGCTACAATAATAGCAATATAACTTCACCTTCTCCAAAGCCATGTGATTTGACCACATGAACCGTGCTAGCATCAGTGCATCACAACCACACCATATATAAAGAAATAAGGCATCCAATTACGATTGAGAGAGGAACATCATAAAGGTTCAGTTCACAGTTGTTATGACATGGTTCCGAACATTGTGGTGTAGGTGATAAAGATAACAAGTCAAAACAGTAGCGAACCACTGCTACATTCACTTGCCTTTTTTAGCGAAGACGGTCAAAAAGGACTAGGGGTGATCCGAGGCACTACCACTTGTTTTAAAACAAAGAACTCAGTACAAATACCCCGAATAACACTTGTAAACAATCAACAAAAACAGCCCTACGTCCGAACAAGCAATAGATGAAAAACAACCCCCACTTGACCCCGATAAACAGCAGCAGTGCTGCTCGTTCTTTTTTTGTAACTCTGAAACCGTAGCAGTTGTGATAACAAATAAATAGCTAACAAGCATCTACACTGAATAAGCTACAACCTTGGTATTCAGCAGAAATTAAAATTTCAACATCTACTATTTTTAATGCAGCCTACAAAGCAACAGACTACTCTGAGTTTCTAGAGCAGCAACTCTGTCTTCAGAAAACCATACCTCCCAAGCCATTGATCCTAAAACAGAGTTTAAATACTCAATGAAAAGTTCATACAAAGTACTACAAAATACTCCATAGCGCCCTGGACCAAAATGGCCTCGAAAACTTCTAAAACGAGGCTGAAAACTAGAGTTCGAAACTGACCCCGACCTGATAGAACTGCAGTAACCATCGGCAACATTCAGAAAGCCATAACTTTTGCTATGCTCAACAAAAAATTAAGCTTAAATACTCATTGAAAAGGTCTTCAAATGCCCTACAACTTCCGTTCATATGAAATCCCCTAATTCGGCCAGTAAATACCTCAAAAACAGACCGATCTACAGCTGTACAGGGAGAGAAGGAAAACACTAAAACCCTAATTGCCTGTCCACCCACTGCATGACCAAAACGAAAACATCCCTTAAACCCTTCTCTAATCCCTTCTCCTCCTCGACTTTTAGGCATCCAGAACACATCTAAAACTTGCACTTTACAGAAACTCAAGTCTCACCTAGGATTCCCTTGAAGATCCCGCAAGGAGAACGGTGGGAGAACTCCAATCCACACCTCTCTCTGCTCCTCCCCTGCTCCCTAACTTTTCTTCTTGATTTAGGCTCTAGAGCAAGAGATCCATGGGAAACTTTTGCAAGAAGGAAGAAGAAGGTGCGGCCAGGAGAGAAAAGGAGAAAGGGGTGGCGGCCAAGAGAGGGAGGAGAAAAAGGGGGAGGCGGCACCAGCAGATGGGCCTAGGCCCATCTAGCACTCTTTTTTTTTTTATTACTTCAGGGCATTACAAGTCTCTTCCCAGACCTGGCCTTCCCTGGCCGCCGCAGCAACACTCGTGTGATTGGGTCCTATCGCGGAAATCACTGAAACGCTCATCTATCCAAAGCAAACTCAACAGTTGTGTGATTGGATCCCTCATAGCCCATAGCCGCCATTGATCACAGGCCAACCAGTCACGTCTCCATCGGCAGCACTAGCAGCCGCCGGCCATGTAGGCTAATCCTGTCATGATTGGTGGTGCTAGCTACGGTTGATTCTCCGGCCGGTGATGACCCTGCAACCGACGTCTCGCAGACAGATTGGTTGATCTTACTTGGAGTTCATCAAGATGCCACATTATTGTCCAACTCTACTAGAAAGTTTCACTTCAGTGAATAGCCATGTTGGGTTAATGACCCAGGTGGCAATGAGGCTGTGGCCTGTGGCAGACTGGCAGGAGAGGTAATTGTGGCGGAGCACCGGGCCGGGCTGCCAATGAGGCCCTACCCCTCCACCGCGGACGTACAGACGGATGAATGCTGATCTAATAATTGACTAAAAAACAAGATCGAGTGACATGGAGACAATCACACTTCAACCTTCAAGTCATATCAACATCACAACATGACCCCTTGGTACCTCCACTTTTAACGATGACGAGCCTGATTGGTTGGGAGCTTAAAATTTGGTTGTCAAGCTTATGCAAGCCAAGATTTTTGCAGCCATTTGGTTTGGTATCAAAATTTGTCAATACCTCACAATTGCCATACCAAATCTATTGCAAACATTTTTGCTCAAGTTTTAGCAACTTTTTTTTGCCAAATCTTGAGAATGGCAAATTTCGGTAGCCAACCAATCAGGCCCCAAATATCAAAGAACAGAGTTGAAAACTGATTACGGGCCTGTTTGGTACTCGCCTTCATTCCAAATTATAAAGTCGTTTTGACTCTTTTTTCATCCATTTTACTATGTATCTAGACATATTATTATATCTTAGTAATTTAGAACGGAGAGATTAACGTTTTTGTCCCAGCTTCACAAAGCCGGTTTTCAGTTTTTCTACCAAATAGGTCCGATTGAAACAGCTTCTCTAGCTGTTCTTCCGCTTCTCTCACATGCACGATTTCCTAGGTAAAGTTGGGTGAAATGAAAATGCTAGCTTCTAGCAGCCTGTTCGGCAGCTCGTATTCGGCTTATAAGCCTTGTCTTATTAGCCAACGAACAGTATTTTTTAAACACCAAACCAGTCAAGAATGATCTTTCAAATGCATTGACTTATAAAGTTCAATCCAAATTGAAAGGAATAGGTTGTAGCTTTCTTTTGCTAGAAGCCGTTTCACCAAACTTTTTTAAAAAGAAAAATAGCTTTAGCTTGACCAAGCTGCTTTATAAAACCAAAGCCAAAAAAATCATTTTTCACTAGTGAAATTGAGCTGTACCGAACATTGGCCTATTTCTTCTACCTCCGAACCGGTTTACATACAGTTGAAGCTGACTATTTCTAGGAGTTGAAGGCTGTGTTCTAGAAAGTGCTTTTAGCAGAGCGTCAACAAAAGTGCTTGAAGGAGAAGCTGCTTTTCACTGCATAGTAAAATAGGTGAAAATAATAGGTGAAAACAAAGAGATTTTTCACAGCAATTTTCAAGAAAGATAGAGTCTTGGATCTTATTTTTGGCTCTGTTTTTCTAAATTGGTGAAAATAACAGACGAAAACAAAGAGATGTCAGAAACATAAGGGTTGATTTTATGGTTATTTCAACCAACAGCTTACATCTTCTCCACAACACATAACTCGGATCAACTTTCACCTTTTTCACACATAACTCGAATTAACTTTCACCTTTTTCACACATAAAAAACAAAGAGATGTCAGAAACATAAGGGTTGATTTTATGGTTATTTCAACCAACAGCTTACATCTTCTCCACAACACATAACTCGGATCAACTTTCACCTTTTTCACACATAACTCGAATTAACTTTCACCTTTTTCACACATAACTCGAATTTAACTCGGATCAACTTTCACCTTTTTCACACATAACTCGAATTAACTTTCACCTTTTTCACAGCTCACGGCAACTTTTCTAAACTCACAACTGAACGAAATAGAACCAAAGCATAGGTGAAAGTCACGCCTTATGAGAACGAATTTAAGCAGTTACCTCGAGAATACAAGATTTTGTTGGTGACGTGCAATATGCTTCATTTTACCAACAAAACTTTACTTGAATATTATTGCATATACTATTATGAGTTCTCGGTATGTAAGGAAAATTGTACAGATCCAAATCAACCAAAAAAAAACTGTTGTATTGTGTCGAGGAAGAATGGTGGTGCAACAAAAGTTGGATCCAACTGGAAACCAAGCTTACATATACTAGAATTAATTGAATCCCCTCAAGCTTCCCGTAGCATGAAAGCCAAAACAAAAAGAGTCAAAAAAAAATATTCTACTAGTGTTCTTAGCCATTAGCGACAATTTCGTGGATCTTGTCACTGATCTCTGGATCATCAGATCTAACTGCTAGTTTCATGGCCACCTCCTTCGGTGCACTGATTCCAAATGACAGTCTCACCAAGACTTTCACGTTACCGATAAACACGCCAGAGAGCAGACAAGTGTGCGACCTTGAATTGCTTGGGACCACGTCAGTTCCCTACAAACCAAAGGTGAAACAAGTCATCATTTTAAGGTGAAAAGCAATGCTAATTCCTGCATTGGGCATAAATACAGACATGATTCCAAATCAAGACGATAACCCTTTGAGCTGAGGGTTGCTTGAACTATCAATACTGCTAGATTTTATAGGAATTAAAAAATTGTCAATATCAAGGAAGGGGATAAGACTTAACTTATTAGTGACCAGGACTGCTAATTGGTACAGGCCTTTGGAAATTTCTAAAAAAAAAGCTCTAAATCCTGCAATTTCTCTCCACGAGGTAGAAACCACTATATAACTTTTCAAGCAAATTTATTACAAAATCAACTTATTATTATATGACCATGGCATTCATTCGATTGGAAAAAGAATGATGAAGGAGACTAACCTCACAAGGCTGCATGCCGAGGATGCTTATAACAGCACTTACAGCCTCAGCCAAGCTCTCCCTTACTCCAAGCCCATACTCGTCAACCCGCTCACTCTCCGGATCCATGCTTTCCCAGGCATTTCGGAAGTTAGATACTCCCACCTTCAACATATAATCAGCAGAAACAATTTCAAGATCTTCAAGCTGGTACTCATCCTCAACACCATCATCCTCAGCTTCACCCGTGGATGGGTCAACCTGAAACACAACAAATGAGTCAAAATCAACAAATTATCATTTGCCGCTTCAAATGGAAAAGCAGTAAAGCATTTCACAAAATTATCTGAACCGATTAAGTGTATATATGTCGTATGATGATCTTATTCAGAAGAGTACAAACACAGATGTAGATCCCAGATTAGTGCATTTGCAAGGAGTCAAGGGCATCCAACTAACAGATTTAAGAATTTCACTGGAAACTCAAAAGGACCCTGAAGCTCAATATACTAGTGCATAACTGCATACAGCAACAAAGAAGGTCGAGCTGATTTCCAGTTCAGAACATTTTAGGTACAGATCAACCAAAGTTTAGACAAAACACTATCTTATGTTAAATCAAAGATTACAGATAAAAAGTAAGTTCAACCATGATTACTGGTATGACTACAAGGGACCTTAGGCTGGAGAACCAGATAGTTCCATTTAAATTATCATGTTTTATGATAAGCTTTCATACATGGCCTCCCTTCTTTGTTCGGTAGGAATGGTTCTTCCCATAGGCAAGGCCTGGTTCAGCATTTTCCCAGAAGGAACAAAAACTGGAACTGAACAACTTTTTAATATAAACATCATAAGCTAAACAAAGCACTGGTTTCTGGAGTAGCCAAGGTGTCAAGAATGCCTTCCATTTGTTCATGGGCACTTATCCTCACCTCACACAAAATGCACATAGAAAAATATAAGATAATGGGGAGGAGCAAGAAAAACACATACCTCCTTAACAATGAATTTCAGGATATTTGAGAACTTGCCGGTGGCAATGACACCTTCTGGCTTTTCAAAAGCCACAAAGGTCTGTCCAGGAGAATCATATGGTAATGATTCTAAAGGCTTTGAAGCAACTTCTAAAAATTCATCAGCCTCAGAAGCATCAACGAAAACAACTACCTGTGGAATTGATGAGTTAAAGGCACTGAATCATGAAAACACAACATATGCATGTAAACCTAAATATGAAAGAAGTTACATACCTGTTCAAGCAATTGTTCAGGAATTGTATTGGTACAGTTGTATTGGAGCACAATGTGTCCATCAAAAATATGTTTCACAACATTTACTGAGTATTCGGTCTCAGCTTCAGTCAATTCTACAGGTGCAGATGACTGGAAGAGCGAACAAAAAGTTACAGCACATGAAATGAGATTCAGCCAGGTCCATAATGCACACTTTTATAGGACAAATAATATATACCAACCTTAAATAGCTTTCCAAAATCAGCGAATTCCGGAATGGATGAAAGAAGCTTCTCATAAGAAGCATCAACAGTAGAAACAGGGCCACTGACAGCAGATGCCGGACCGGCTGATTTCTTGCCTGTAGACTTTTTCTCAGCAAGGGGTTGGGATTTTGTTTCCTTCGAAACAGATGAAATATCAAAAGGTACATCCGAAGGTTCCTGTCAACAAATAATGATAACATAAGATACAAGGATAATAGAGCAAAAGCATAATTATAATCAAGTGACCAAGACATACATAATTCCGCAGACTCGTCTCCAAGTTTACTAGTGGAACATCAAGTGAGCCAAAGAGAAATTCATTCACATCCTTCTCTGTCTCACCAACTGTAGCTTCCCCACCTAACAATTTGAGGTAAAGGGTCGCTCTGTCACGCACCTACAAGGTAAGCATATCAAACATCAGCAAGGAAATATTTCTATCTGAAAAAAGAAGAATCAAGCAAGGTCATTTATCTAAATATAACTTTTGCTTTACAATTAACACTTAGAGTTAAAATGAGGTAGCAAAACAGTAAATGAGGAAGGCGCACATGGGAAAGGGTTATTGAATCATGAAAAACAGAGCATAGAACTATCTTCATGGGAAAAGTTTTGCGCTAACCTCATCATCCCCATCAAACAGGCAGCGTCTCAGGAGCACGAATATGCGAGGCTGGATAAAAAGATTGTAATAAGTGCAATAGACATTTGACAGATCAGAAACACATTGCACAGCAAGAACATCATTGAAGTATAAAAAATCATGCAAGTACCTTGAGTGAGTCAATCAAGGCACCAAACTTTGCCAATGTGCTGACTGCACTAGCTCGAACTGTAGCATTTTCAAGTATCACCCTATTGTATATATAACGTATGTATTTACTGGGATCTGATGTTTTTGGGCCTTCATTTCCCAAAAAGTGAAGTATCTGCCACAAGATTAAAAAGCAATTTGATTACAATGAAGAAATCAGCTGACTTACTAAAGTAGTTTATGAATAGATATTTTACTAGTCCATAATCATAAATGTCAGTGTTAACATAGGAAAATACAAAATGAGTTCAGTTGCAGGTTTCAAATCAATTAGCTCATTATATCTACAGAAGCAGAAAATAACCATCTTTAGACAGCTCACAGCAGAAGATATATAATTAGAAATAAAATGTGTTCAGCGGTCACTATTTCAATTTGATCAGCCTATTGTATATACAGAAGCAAAAGAAAAATAACATATTTACAAAAAGGAAATTAAATCGATCTTACAACTATTTTCCAAATTATATGCCTGCAGAATGATTAATTGATGATTACCTGGGTGGACAAATAGGTGAATTCACAGTCTTCTATGAATTCACATAAGTGAAATAAACCACTTTCCTTTGCATCAGGAATATCTCTAATGAGTATAATAATTGAATCAACTATGGCTTTCTTGTACTCGAATCCACCCTCTTCCCGTAGAATATTACTCAAGAAGTTCATCCTGGAAAAGATAAATAGAAATTAATGCTTATAGATGAAAAAGGTAGTTTACGATATTTAACAATAATAGTGCAAGATATGCTTCTATGTACATACAATGAGCGATATTTCAGAGGAAACTTCAAGCACAGGGATCTTATTAGCCGACAACAACGATCTTGAATTCATCAGCTATGTCTGACATAAAGTTGGTCATCTGTTTCATTAAACGATCAACACTTGACTCGTTGCCTGTCTTCAACAGTGTTGTAATCGCAAGGGTTGCAATGCTCCTGTTCTGATCAGAGATTAAGCTCTCCATGTCTATGTTACAATTTGTGACAGCCAAAGGATGAGTTGATGCAACCTGTACAATTGTTCACATGAGCAGTCAGTAAATATAATGGAATCAACCATGATTCTGATAAGAACACTACAGGCAATCTGGGCCATACTATCAGTAAGGAAACTATTAATCCAACAGAAAATCCAGAACACTAAAACAGCTTTCCAGTAGGGGAGATGAATTTTCCACAACAGATCAAACAACATAATGAAAATGCATATGATCACCAAACAAACAAAAGTAAAAGATAACTCAATGTTGCACTCTTATCATCTGTTGCTCCCTATATGCAATAGAAATAAAAATAGCAGATTCAAAACATGTTAGATAAAAGATGTCATTCTGAAATGTCTGGTCTTGCATCAAACAAATGGCATTCAGTCCAGTAACCAGATGGCATGTCTCTGTCCTACCCAAGGATCAACTGTTATGGATCACAAATGTATAAACAAACATAGAGCCAAGAATTCAATGAAATAGTTGTTGAAGCACAAAGCATATGTAACATGACTGAACAATCAAGGAGATGATAGATCAGCAGGTCCTATCTTCCAGCTATATTACCTGGCTACTTAGAGAATTTAAAGAAAGCACGAAATGAATGTTGTGTTAAAAAATTTATTTAGATACTGGAGATTTAGACCTTAACTTATTTGGTACCATTCATGGAAACTCCATCATAAACCAAAATAAGTATTAAGCACCGGATGCAACCAATATTGCTGTGTTATTATAGTTCTGAGACAAAAAAGAATCCCAGACATTTGAAAGCCAATGATCCTTTATTGGAAACTACTACATAATCAACAGTTCTACTTAAATGAGAATAGCATAGTATCAAGAACAGCTAGTGTAAAGAAATAAGCAGAGCAGCGGACCAACCTTGTTAAGTGTGCGAACAGCAGCGAATCTGAGAACAGGTTTGGATGAACTTAAGAACAACTGCAGCACAGTAATTGCAGGTGTAAGCTCACGGCTTGTGACACTGTTCAGTTCAGTAATTGCTCTTGCAGCCTCAAGTATGACCATTTCTGCTTTGTTCCGGAGACAGGACTCAAGGAAATCAAAGAAAGGACGATCTCCACCTTGGTTCACACCAGACTCTCTAATCACCTGTAGATGCCACATATTTCAGATACCAATGATCTATCATTCTATCTACATTAGATCTGGAAGATATGGAACACATGCCTGGCTTTGTGTAGCGAATAATAAGTAGGCACTGGGCCAAAGGAGAGCGAACTGAACCCCTGGTCAAGCTAGTGACAAGCTTGCTGACCGCCAACCGATCATTTTTCTAATCTGAAATGTCAGGTAGATGAGATTATAATGTATTTGTGCATTAACAAACAACTTGAGCTTATCAAAGTGCTCCATGTTGCATAAGTAGCAGACAAACAAGAGCTGACTAATTAAGTTTTTGCCAAGCGCCTGATTCATTTTACCATCGAGGTTGAGGATATTATGGATATTCCTATCTATCCTACTTAAAAGCACCAAATGTTGAACTCACTTGGTGAAGAAGAGCAAGGGCATGAAACTGCACAAGAGCAGCTCTTGACTGCACAGCCTCTTGAACTTCATTGCTCCATCTTTTTTACAACTTCCGGACTTGTCTGCCAATAATACAAACATGCGGAAAACATAATCAGAAGGATCTAAAGCTGCCACCAACTAGTAACAATATATCCAACTGGAGCACCAAATATAATTGCAGGACGTACTTGAAGCAAGTAGATGCCACTAACAAGGGCTGCACTGGCAACAACAGGATTCTTGTCAACAATGGCTTGCTTCAGATACCTCTCGATTTGGGTGAGAAGAGTTGAGTCGATAATACGACAAAGAACTCTAATAGCGTTCGCACGGTACATATCGGTTTTGCTATTCATGTCCTTCATCAAAGAGCTTGTTACTATGATGACCTACACCCAATAGATCACAAATGAAAGTCATTCCCACATTCCACATAATGTGCCGAACCACATAGTAGCAACCAATATATTCACCAACCTCATCAGCTGAAGGCGAGAGTTCCTTGATCATGAGGTACACCATCCTCCTAAGGCCCGCATCTTTAGACTGGAACAGCTTGGTTGTTGCAAAGAAGACCTCTGTGGCCTCAACCTACAAATTTTTTCCACTCATGCAAAACTATCAAGTAGCACATGTCCTAGACTCTGCTCAATGGGCACACTAATGTATTGAAGAAACTGCACTACATAACATGTGATTATATGTACTCTCAGATCCCCTTTGTACTTGTAGTGTTTGAAACATGCATAAGGTCTACTCTCTGCACATTAAGCTAGCAAGTAACTCCTCACCTAATGTTATTCAGGGTACCAGGTGTTGAACCTAACTTTGTAGGTACCAACTTCCTTTTAGAGGACAGTAACTATGGCCAAACTTCACAAGAATTTTAGATATACGACGAGTACTGGCAATCTGAATCTAAAAACCCAGCCAAATTATGATCACGGTAAGATCAACGATGTGCAGACTGTACCTTGGTAAAGGTGTCACCCTGGTTGAGCAGGTACAGGAGCTTGGTGATAACCTACAGATGCAGGCAGAAAGCATGAGAAACCACAGTCATTTATGTAAGCCCGCGAATGCATTCGAATTCACATTCGCACAAGCTTGGAGAGATGGTATCGCGAGATCCCGTGGGGAGGGATGAAACACGATTGGGCAGAGACAGGCACCTGGCAGCATCGCCGCGCGTCGAGCTGAGGGTCGTGGAAGACGCGGGCCTCCTGCAGCACGGCGCCCTTCTCGATGCCGAGGAACGGCGAGTAGTACTCTGCAGCAGCAGCCAAGCAAGCGAACAATCAGTCAACCGCAATGGCGACGGACGCCGGGATCCGCGCCGGAACGCGCCAGATCTAGGGCGCTGCGAGCGCGGATCTGGGCACATACACGCGCGCACGGGCACACACACACACAACCGGAGGCGCACACGCGCGCAACGAAGGAACGAGGCGAGACAGACGAGAGGCGCTGACGCGCGCGCGCGCACCTTCCTCGTCGAGGTCGTCGTCCTTCTTCACGACGAGCTGCTGCGCCATGGCTGCGGCTGCTGTCGGGGCGACGCTCACGCGGGAGGGCGCCCGAGCCGGCGGCGGCGGCGCGAGGGGGTTTCCCCGGGGCCCGGGCGGTGGCCTCGCTGGATTTGGAGTGGAGGAGGCGCGGAGCTTACAGGAATGGAGAAGCGTGCGGCATGGATCTGAATCTGGCGCCGGGAAAGGACTGGGGGAGAGAGAGGGGGGAAGGGGTACCACCCTGCCAGTCGTTGAGCAGCGTTTCCTTTCCTTCGGATGCAATTCAACTGTGGACGCCGACGCCTTGATCATATTTGTTAATTTTTTATACTTGTTTATTTAAAAATGACACCACCAAGATGAAATTCAAATTCAAAGGTGAACAATACACGGATGGTATCATTGTACCATCAATAGAAGATGCAGATAAATATGGGTCCATCCATTTTTAGTTTCATATACAATATATAATTATTGTATGATTTCGAGTATAAGATACACTCTCTCTCTCCTTAACGAGTGTAATTCTAAGCTTGGACTAAGTGAAAGTGCATCTAAACTCTCTAGTGGGTTTGGTGTTTGACTGACAAAACAATTAAAACACTAATGAATTTGATGAGTTCCGATTATGTTTCATTGCAATATGAATGAAATGATCTTGCTAGCTCATGTCATATCTCCAACGGAAGCTTGCATTGATAAATTAAAAGGGACGAAGGAAAAGAGATATTTTGTTCTAATGATGGTTTACTTGTATTTATGAGAAAAATATAGATAGTTTATTGGTATTAATCAAGATTGATTATACATCAAGACATGTGGTCAAGAGCAATGGTGAATCCAAGGGAATTGCTTTGTTTGGCCATGAATATAATCAAGAAAGAATAGAGCTGTGTAACAAATTAGTATTTCAAGGAAACACAATATGAAAGTTTCATTGATCACAACATTGAAATAGAAGTAAAACATTTAAGCAAGGATTATGATACTGAAGAAATGGATTTCAAATGAATGTGTTGATGCCAAGTAACATTTGATGTCAGAGATAGGGTGAAGTATTAAGCAAGGATTTGGTTTCGAGGTACTAATCAAGGGTCAAAGGCAAGTGAACGGCTTAACGCCAAGGAACCAAGGCTATGGTGAAAAAACAAGTCTTTGATTAACATCGATGAACTAATCATGTCATAATAAGTTATGCAATACCAAATCAAATCATTGTAGGATCAAAAGTTGTAGTGACTTTAAGCTATGCACTTATGTGTTGAAATAATTCAAGGCACAAAGCCGAAGAAGGATTTTCTCAAGGATTGAGATAAAATTGGTCGCAACCCTTATGAAGACATATTATGAAGAAATGTCATATGAAGAGTCTTACAATCTCAAGAGCTTTAAATGGATTTTGTATCTTATCTATTAGATGGAACCCACTAAATGTCATTAACTTTGATTTCTCTTGAAGGTAATAAAAAGATACTTGAAAGCTTAGGATATACTTAGAGATCTATGTTTGAATAGGAGTGCTTGGAAAGGAGCTATTGAAGTGGCTGAACCGTGACTAGGGCCTCTTGGTAGGTTTTAACTCTAACCTACCCCAACTTGCTTGGGATTGACAAGCTTTGTTGTTGTTATTAAACCACACATCATTTAAAAAATCAAGTTCGTCAAATGATATGCTCACTTAATCCCTATGGTCCACGTCCATTCATCCATATTCAATATAGAAGTGCAAGTCACAACAAAACGGACAGGCACATAAACCCAACTATAAAAAGCACTATGTCAAGCCATTTGTAATGTGCCGATTTAAAATAGCACTACCACAAAGCCTCCTTAACGTGGCGACGAAAAATATTCACGTGGCCACTCAATTTTCCTATGTGGGTAATGCCCACTAAGAGTATCTCCAAGACTATCTAAAACACTCTCCCAATCCAGAATTTTTGGCAGGACAGAAAAAAATCATCTCCAACAACTCCTAATCACACATTCTAATCTTTTAGCACTTGGAAAAAAACCCTCCGTTGCGTGTAAAGTCATGCGTATCCCCATCACCGATCTAAACGCGTGTAAAGGTGGAAGGATAGAAAACAATAAAGAGTAGTAAAGGGTTCCTGACGCAAATGTACAAGAGAGAAATAATTTATAAAAGTGGTTAGGATAATTTAGAATTAGTATATGATTTCCTGATGTGAAATTGTATTCTTATTTTAGGAGTGGATTATTAGAAACTGTTGGAGATGATCTTATTTATTCCTCCCAATATTTTTTTAGAGTTGAAAAACATGTTTTTAAAAAGACAAAATATAGTACTCTTGGAGATGCTCTTCTTTAGGAACGACTGATGATCCATCCCATCAGTGATGATTTATTCGCCTCCTTTCATATTTAGGGTCTGTTTGGATGCACCAACTAAATTTTAGCTGGCTAAATTAAGCTGCTAGGTATCCAAACGACCAGCTAAAGTTTAGCTTAGTTGAGTTTAGCTACTTCAACCCAGCTAAAGCCAGCTAAAATTTAGCTGAGTCTATTAGCTGGAGGATCCAAACACTCAGCTAAAATTTAGCTAGAAAAACTTTTAGCTAGCTAAAGTTTAGCTTTCAAATTTTAGCTATCTAAACTTTAGTTGGGTGCATCCAAACAAGTCATTACAGTACTTGCTCCGGTCCTTTCTTCATCTGTCTAGGGTCCCTATGATGCAGCATTGGTCGCAGCCAACCATATGTGCAACATAGGGTCATTCCTATCTACAGGTGTGGAGTCCCCTCCATGCTCATGCTTAAGGACTGTAGATTCATCACTCCGGCCATTCTGTTTCTGTCTTGAGCATGCTTCACTTCTGATCGATGGATTCAGTTCATCCATTGACCATTGTGTGGCAAGGGGAGTCTATATATATGGGTGAATACATCCGAGTCGTAATTTGTCTTTTTTTAATTAAACAACTTATATTTAGTGTCTTGGCTGGAAATGAATATCAGTATTATTATTACTATGCAACATATTTTCATTAATATGTCAAATGGGAAATTATGAAGCTCTAGTAAATTTACCACCCTAGAAACAAGTGATCCTAAATTTTACAAAGGACTATTGAATTAATCTATTTTTTGGTGTTGGCTCAATGCTCTAAGGGCTACAGCTACTACATTAACTTATGCTCCTCTTTATCGATACATGGTTACACATGAAATCTTTCATCTTCATTAAATTCCTGCAGTAATGCGTGAGGTATATATTCACCTAGTATTGAGTGTAGGTATGTAATACTATAAAGAGGGACGCTACATTAAATGTGTTGATAAGTCTTTGTGCTCAAACTAACTAAACCTTAAGTGCCAACTCGAGAGGAACACTTTTCCCGACGTTTTAACATGATATGGTTTTGGAGCTTATTTTTAGTTGGGATGGATAGCTCTCTAAATAAATTTTCTATAGAGTCAAACATCATCGAAATCGGGGGCGAAATGTTATGGCTATTTTAGCTGAGTTACTACATAAATTTCGGGTCTAGTAAGAAATCCTGAGCAGTTTTGGAATTTCTGATGTAATTTTTGATCAGGCATTCTTAGGTTAGAATTAATTTTTCCTAAAAAAAATTCAATCCTATCTAGAAATTTCGAATGTCTATCCTAAACCCTCTTTATAGTACGACTATTTATCCTAAACCCGACCACACACTTTATTGCGTCTCAACTAGCAAAAACAAAAACATAACATATATCTTTGCCTTCGGGCTTGTTTTCACCTCATCATCTTCTCCAAGTGTGAGCTTGCACGAGTTGGATTGATCACCCTTTGTCCAACTTCTTACCTTGCTCACCACCTTGGTGTGGACTTCACCTAGTTTAACCAACACTTAGAGTAGGATCTCTGGTACGCCTAGAGGGGGGGTGAATAGACCTGTAACAATTCAACTCAAACCGAAGTCAAATTCACCAGCAGCACTGCCGCTCTTTGAGCGTGGCACTGCCGCCCCTGTAGGAGAGATTAGGTTCATAGTTCAAAATCTATCCAACAAAATTTAGATCGGGTAAATTTCTTAGCTTCCTGCAGGGTGGTAGATCACAGATCGACAGCTGAAAGTGGTGGGAACACCACACACAAGTAGATCGGCCTCAATCCTAGAAATCACCTTAACAACAACAAGAACACAAGTGTAGCAACACAAGCACATGATGACACAAGAATTTATCCCGTTGTTCAGCTCGTCACCAAGGCTTGTCTAAGTCCACGTTGTTGAGGTATACCACTAAGGCTTAGGGATTTGCAACCCTACCTTATTCTCAAGTCAAGAGAGTGAACTCTTGAGATGAGGGGTGATTTTACTTGCTGCAAGAGGTGGTTACAAACCTCCCGAAGCTACCACATAAGTTGGCAAGCTCACTGGGCGACGCTCTAGCTGGCTAGGAGCCAAGCTCCTAGAGTAACAAACACAACTGCTGGCCAAAACATGAACCAAGTACTCTTTAGAGTTTGAAATCAATGGAGATGCTCTCTTATCAAGTTTTGGATCCTTATCTCTTAAGGATTGATGGTGAAATCAATGGATTTGCTTGAGGGCTTGAGGTCAACAATGGAGTGAGAGAGAGAGAGAGAGCTCCTGCTCTGTTTTGAGTGTGCTAAAGTGAGGAAGAAGAGAGCAGGTTGATTCGTTACGCTTGGGAAAGAAAGGGAAAGGTATATATATACCCCCGGCCCCAACGATCACTTAAATCGCAGATAGACGTTTGAGAGAAAAAAGAAAAGATATATATACCCCTAACCCTCAACGAACATTGCACCCAAGAGGTTGGGCGAGTCGAGGTCCGCGGCCTTGAGGTTGGGCAAGACAAGGCCGTCACCAAAGGGTCGGATGAGCCAGAGCCCGCGACCAAAGGGTCGGGCGAGCCGGAGCCCGCGACCAAAGGGTCTTGCGAGACGGAGCCCGCGACCAAAGGGTAGGGCGAACTAGAGCCTGCACCCAAGGGGTCGGACGAACCGGAGCCCGCACCCAAGGGGTCGGGCGAATCGGAGCTCGCACCCCACAA